CAGCAGGGCGGATAAGCGAAAACATGCTACTGCTGGTGCCTCCCTTCTTTCTTTTCCACCTGTTTCTCTTACTCCCATCCCGACCCACATTATTAACCTTCCTTCTATAATCCCCACCTTAATTGACAGCAACCGATGTGTCACTGGAGTAGAACCATATGCATCCACCTCGCGATACGCACCGGACGCCTATCGGCAATAGTCACTCCTAAGGCCAAGCCGTCCCGTTTCCATGGCGACGTACAACGTCCGCATTCTAAGACAAGTAGGTCAACAGGCTGCACTCGCACGCACCTTGGACACACTGGGTATTGATGTGTGCTGTGTGTCCGAAACTAGGATCAATGACCCTAACGGGGTTATTGAATTAACTGCACTCGGCTTGTCCTCTCGTTATTGGTTGCACGCATCCGGAGACCCCGATGCAGCACTCACGGATCAAGCTGGTGTAGGTATCATTCTAAGCTCCAAGGCTGAGCCATCGTTGGTTGATTGGATTCCGGTGAACAGCCGTTTATGTGCAGACCGTTCGACGACATCAGCTAAGGTTGATTCACGAAGTAGTAAAAAACGTTGTTTGTTTGTGATTTCCGTTTATGCCCCCGCTGACTGCAGTTCAAATGCTGTCAAGGACACGTTGTATCACGAACCGAACATGATACTACGCAGTGCTACTAGTTCTGATATTATAGTACTTGCTGCGGATATGAACCCACAAGTAAGGCGTCTGAGCTCTTCAGAAGCTCAGCTGGGTGGTAATTATGGGCTTAACTCCGACGGACTGACAATGGCGAGCGTCTGCTGCAACTGTGTGCGGAGCACCAGTTGTTTCTTACTAGCACTGCTTTTAGACACAGTGGGCGCCGAGGTGCCACTTGGCGTCCTCCTGTAGCTGGCCAGTGATGGACCCAAATTGACCACATAGCCACAAGTTACAGACGGCGTGGTTCCATGCTGGATTGCCGCTCGTACTGGAGTACCTGCGTCGACTCTGATCATGCCTTGGTACGCTGTCGTTTCTCCATGAACTTTACCAGGAGGCGCACCAAACGTCTCCCGCGATTGGCAACTGAGAAACTGTCTCAGCCCCCGGTCAGGCAAGCTTATCAAGACGCACTACATACCGAACTGTCTTGTGCTAATGACACCGAGCTTCAGTGGAATAGGATCTCGGCCGCCATGCACGACACAAGAGCATCTGTTTGTGGCACTATCAATCGTCACCGCACCAGTCATTGGATATCGGAGAGGTCGGTGAACCTGTAGGAATCTAGAAGAAACCTCCCGGCTGGTTCTGCGCACAATGTGACTAGACGGGCTATTAGGCGCGAACTAAAGCGGAGCCTACGTGCTGACAAGGAAGCCTGGTGGACCAGTCGGGTTCAAGAAATGGAGCAGGCAGGAGCAGTAGGCAATTACCGCAAGCTCTTCCAGCTGGTCCGAACCACTAGTCCCAGAAAACCAGACGTCAGTGAGACAATCAGAGACCACGCGGGTGCACTGATACACAATAAGGAGCGCCGTATGGCTCGTTGGGCGGAACACTTTCAAGATCAGTTCAGCTGGCCCCCTGCTCCCGGACCTCTTCCTACTCAGGTGATGTAGGACGAGCCATGGACGGTTAGTTTAGAGCCTCCGTCGGAGGCCGAGGTCCGAAACGCGATCACAGCCCTTAATCGTTTTCGTGCCCCTGGCCCGGATTCCTTCCCACCTGCACTAGTTAAGGATGGAGGTGCGGTCCTCTGCAAAGCACTGACCTCCCTATTCGAACGTATCTTGAAGGGAGTGTCCCGGCTAATTGGAACGAATCGATTATAGTAGCAATATACAAGGGCAGTCACACAGATTGTTGCAACCACAGCAGTATTAGCCTAACGTTAGTTGTGATAAAATTAATGACGTCGATTCTCGTTCGTCGCCTCACTGTGGAGCAGGAATCTAGGAGTAGGGAAGAGCAAGTAGGCTTCCGCCCAGGACATGGCTGTATATACTATATATCCACTTTGCGGCAGGTGCTAGAGCAGCGCCACGCATACCGTAGACAGACAATAGCTGTGTTCCTCGGTTTCAAGAGTGCGTTCGATTCAGTCGATCGATCAATTCTGTTCGGAATACTTGCGCGGAAAGGTGTTCCCACGAAATAAGTGAACATCCTTCGTGCTCTATACTCGAACACTACAGGCCGCGTCAGGGTCTACGGTGGCCTATCGGATAGCTTTCCGACCACAAGTGGCGTTCGTCAGGGTTGTCCGATTTCCCCATTTATGTTCACTTTCGTCGTGGATTCTATCATGGAGTGTTCCCTTGCGGAATCTCACGATATGGGCGTTGAAGTGCCGCCTGGTGAAAGATTACTTGATCTTGTTTATGCAGACGATATCGTCTTGCTTCTCGACGATGTTGAGGCGGCACAATCAACCCTGAATAGCCTGTCCAGAGTGGTCCCATTATTTGGTATGCACTTCGCACCTTCAAAGTGCAGTGTTGCTGCAGGACCACCAGCCACTTTATGATCCCTTGACCCTTAATAACGAGGAACTCGAGGTGATTGATCATTTCACTTATCTTGGCAACTGCATCAGCAAGGATGGGCGCATAGAAACTGACGTGAGCTCACGCATTGCAAAAGCCAGAGCTGCCTTCTGGAATCTGCGGCATCTATGGTGACAGAAGGGACTTTCCCTTCATCTGAAAGGCAGTGTATACAAGGCCACAGTGAGGGCCGTTTTGTCCTATGGTAGTGAAACTTGGCCCCTTTGGTCTGAAGATCTGAGACGCCTTCAAGTCTTTGATCATCGTTGTTTGCGAAGCATTGCTAGTGTCGGATGGCACCAGCGAGTCGGCAACGATTATGTGCGTAGGCGAGTACTAGGTAGCGATAAACATGATAGCTCCCTAGAACAACAGATAGCACTGGATAAGTTGCGTTGACTCGGGCACGTGCTACGTATGCCTGGTCACCGCTTACCGAGGAGGGCCTTGTTTAGACTGCCAGGTGTAGGATGGCGCAAGGCTCGCGGTGGACAGAACTTGACTTGGCAGCGGGAAACGAAGTTACAGACGACCAAACTGGGTGCCGTTGGTCCGTCTCATCTTCTGGGCTGGAGTCCACGTGACTCGCCTTGTGCTTGGCTCCAGACTTTACAGGACATGGCTCGCAGCCGACACCAATGGCGCGTCTACTGTCGTCTCCTAATCGGATTGCCTGTTTAAAGTGTGTTTGCTACTGAGTTATCTGCGGGGTAATGGCTGATTATGACGCGTGGCAGTGAAAGCCGCAAGGAAGCTGTCTCGCCGATGCCGCCTTACCCTCGCACGATAGCGAGCTGTTTGCGACGGTATGTTGTCTACACACGGTGTAGGCGCCTTGGCCCTGAATGTTTGCTTAGGGCATTAAGGTTTTCAGGTAAGTCCCCCTTCTCTTCCTCTTATTATTCTTTATTTCATAGGTTATCGTGGTTGTATGGCGGCGAAGCATCAGTTCAAACGGCTGATGTACTGTTGTTGTTGTTTTTGTTTCCTTCCAAGGCGGAAAGCGGAGACGATGTTGATTCCTGGCTCATCGTTAAGCAGTAAGGCAACTCTTGATCGTCCATAATCCTTTCAGCCGGAGTGGTTTTGGACTACTCAGGAGCATTTATGATGTTTGATCAACGGTCACAAGTGTAAATTTTTCGGGGAGCTGCGGCGTGTAAGAAGGCGGACCAAGTTTAAGCAGTTTTTACAGCTGAACGACTCTACATAGAACAAGCTTCAACTGCGATTGAAAATACGATCGTTTGGGTTTCACCTTGACACCTGTCTTGTCTTTATTTTCAGCCACTCGTTTTGGCGAGGGCAGTGACACACTTTCCTTCGCTACGGATGCATACGTCTTGGTATTTGGGGCTTCACAGTGGTCAACGGCCGTCAGAGTCGCAGAAATTGAGGAGCAGTGCGCCCGGCCTCGCTTACCAGTGGGAGTAACCGGGCTAGAATCAGATGATGAGAAGCATGGATGTCAAGGAGGCAGTATCGATGCTTGCTTAGTAACGCGGGCTGAGTGCAGGCAATTCACCAAGGGGTGAAGTGTCTGTGTCTGCCTTCTTTGCCGGTGTCCGACTGGCCAAGAGAGACTTGTCGTTAGGGGGCAGCAGAGCATTCTTTTCGTTGTGCACAGAATGCAGACACGAGGGACATGGACTGATTTGAGATAGGACATTCGAAACTGACACTCAGTCCAGCCCGACAAGGGTCACAAATAAGAACGAAGACTGAAAGAGTGGTCCTCTGCAGTGGATCGTACAGGTCTGGACCGATGTTGCAACATGAAATATGCAGTCACTTATCGCAGAAGGAACAGCCATCGACCGATAAGCGACAGCCTTACAAGCCAAGCATTTGGAGAACAGTGTATCATTTATTTAGTAATTCCAGTATGGATCAAGTCAAGACAAGTTAAAGTAAGCTTTATGTATCCAGATGGGTACGTTTTCAGCATTTTACATGGGCAATGGATGAGCCAAAATTACATTATCAGAACTAATTTTGCGGGAGTGGATAAAAGGACACGGTGTAAAAGTGGCATGAATAAACGAGCAGTATAAAAGAGCAACAATTAAACAATTCCGGACATAATAATTTAAAATCAGCGTTGCAAGCTAGATTTTCAATCGAGACCGTCTATCTTCACGTGCGTATTATCTTGAATTTTACTCAGAGCACGCGAAGAAAAGCAGCTGTGGCCCTGGAAATAGCTAGACAAATATTAATATAAAATATTCCGAGGAAACTAATGTTACCATAGCGAGATTGTAAAAGCAATGTCTAGTGACAACTGCGCGTTCGATTTATAGGCTCCGCCTAGCCTAAACAGTGAGCCACAATAATTTGTAGAGGAATCAGACCCCCAGATACCCTAAGACTTAAAAAGGTAAGAAAAAGAGAAAACAAACGACCTGTAAAACGATCCAACGCGTGCCCGGCCGTGGAATAATGGCAAATAATGATGGCAAACCTACCCTAACAGAGCCAAGAGTTGCATGTCAGGTCAAGGTCAAAGTCTTAGGACGACATATTTAACCGCCCAAAGTGTCCGATTTCTTTCACAGCACGTTATACAGATCCCCGCCACCAGGTTATTCTATCTATGGTACTTACTTTCGCAAAGAAATGACCAGAGAACAAGTAAAATCTTACCATTTTCGCGGAAAATATTCAAGTTCAAGTTCAAGCGGGACTGAAACCATAGGTAATATGGCTGTTAAACTGTTCCCTGAGCCTGGCAATTTGGTTGCAATCCTCTCGTCACCAATCGACGTGACATCATCAGTGCGTAGTTCATTGGCGTGCAATAGTTTAGAGGAGCGCAGAGAAGCCTCGGTGAGAGTGGGCTGAACGTGGTGTGCATGCGTTTTTATACCGTCGTGGTTGGCCGTGGAGCCGAGCAACCCTATTGGCTGGGACTTCGATCGGCGTTCAGCTTGGCTGATGGGCAGATGACTTTTGACAGCGCCTCCTTTGTCTGCTTGCTCTTGGGAGTGAGTCTGCCGTCAGTTCTGGTTGTCTGGTCCCACGTTCCACCGGATTCAATCGATCTAGTTGGCGGTCGTTCATCAGTAGTGTGGCGTATACTGCGCCCAGTTCTGTGTCGATTGATTGAATGCGTTGTAGAGTACCAGGCTTCCAAAAACTCCCTCTCGTGTTTCGTACTTCCATGTGCCAGGATCTTTATGTACTCCAGATAGAAATGGTGGCCTTCTTGCTCTTTACGCGCAAAAACCGATGAGTGCCGATGATGCTTTCTGACGGCCGCCTTGTGCTCGGTGATTCTTGTACAAAGTTTTATTCCAGTTTGTCTGACGTAGATTTTATCGCAGTCACTGCATTTTAGCTGGTAGATGACATTGCAGTGGTCGGCTTGGTTGCCTTTTCCTCTGGGTCTTGAGAGCAATTTCCTTGGGGTGTCACTTGGCTTGTGAGCCGCAGAGATTCCATGTGATTACAGAATCTTCCTGTTAGCTCGGGGACGTTCTTGAGGTGGGACAGCACTAACCGTTTGTTTGATTACTCAGCTGACTGCTGCTGCTGTTGCTGAGGCATTCGTTTCCTTAAGCTTCTTCTGATGAAAGTTCTCGAATAACCGTTGTTTCTAAACGCTCGATATAGGTGATATTTTTCATGTTTCCGCGATTCGGGTGCGCTGCAGTGCGTTTCCGCTTTTTTGCACAAGTTTGGATGTAACTCTTTTTTTGATTCATTAGGTTATTTCTGTATGCGTTTTCTTCCGATATACTCACGTTTCCATAACTCCGTCTCTATTCTTAGTGACCAGTACATCCAAAAATGGTAGCTTGTTATCCTCCGCTAAATCAATCGTAAATTTGATATCCTCGAATGCGATGTTGAGCGAATCGTGAGTCGCCTGTACTCTGTAAATTGACGCAGCGGTACAAATTCGTCTTTACCGGCATTACTACAAACGGACTTGACTCATGGTCATTCCGACTATGAGAAAGCTTTTAGACTTATCGAACAGTATACTGGTGTCTTTTTTCATGTGTCCTCACTATCTCAGGTTGAGCTGGTTACATAGTCTTAAAGGATTCTTGACTAACGGAACTCAGCATAACGTAGACACAAGTCTTCGGGCTATTGCAATGGCTAAATCCTTCCAAATCTTTTTGCCCTGATCCAATTCATCCGAAGCTGGTGCATGAATTGGCCGCTGAGTTAAGTGGCCCTCTCCCATTGCTATTTACAATGTCGCTCGACAGATGTGTCTTGCCATCGGAATGGAAGAAAACAATCATCCGTTCAATGTTTAAGGGCGGTGACGGAGCACTGCCCGCGAAATCCCTGACTGTCAGCTTAACAAGCCTAGCAGTTAATCTGTTAGAGAAATTGGTCGGGGACTAGGTGGAATCAACTGGTTAAGTTTAACCTTTCCAGTGCTTTTCGTCTCTGACAACTTTACTTATAGCCCGTGAAAGCTGGGCTGAGGCAGTAGACCAAGGTTACGCTATCGACGTGCTTTTCTTTGACCTCTCGAAAAGCTCTGCTTTTGTCCCACATCACCGACTCCCATTAAAGTTTGGATTGTATGGGATATCTGGAGCCGCCCTTACATCAGTGTCTACTTTCCTGGACAGCAGAGAACAATGTATACGAGTAGGACGTAGCCTTAGACAGGCTGTTTTTATTGACTTTTCGCAGGGCTCGGTTCCAGGTGCTATGGTTTGGGCAAGTTACGTCGATTACCTACCCCAGGAACTTGGAGTACCGTCGCTATCTTTTGCTGATTAACTACAGCTCTGGAATATTGTGGACGTTCTTGGGGGCTTTGAGGTAATTCAGAGTGCCTTAGTTAAGCCGTGGAATTGGTCGAGCTTATGCTTGATGCCTATACCTTCTGCGAAATGTTTTGTCCTCCGCATTGGAAGTGCCAGTCCCCACACGCTATGTAGTTAATGGAAGTGAAATCCCCGTTGTCACTTTACAGGTTGATCTAGGTATTGTCCACACTGCGGTGCTTCACTCTGGGGACAATTAGAAGAAGACTGCCTGTAGAGGGTTCGTACGATGTGGCTTATTTGCAGCTACGTTTATGTCTTAATGACTGATACATTGGTGAAGCTGTTTTCAGCAGTTTTCCGACCCCACTTAAATTACTGTGTCCAAGCTCATCTACCTTTTCTCTTAAGGTACAAAATGGAATTGAAAAGGGTTTTGCGAGTGGGTACCAGGTTATTGCAGGTATTACGTGAGCAGACGTATCCAAATGCTTTGCATGGCTTGGGTATGTCCTAAATGCACTACCGCAGAATTAGATGAGACTTTATCCTCACTTACCGTATCCTAACGAGTAAGATCGGTCCAGACTTTCACCGGATTTATAATTTTGTCAACCTGCCTAGTCTCCAGGGTCACGCTTTGCTGTTGCACGAAGTGCTTTCTGACGGAGTAAGGACGAAAACTCTCTTGTCGCGCCAGGTTATTGAAAGGTAAAACCCGCTTCCGGAGCATGTTGTTAGGGAATCTGCGATTTAGGACTTCGAGCGTCAGTTAGATACGCTTGGGTGGCAGTATCAACACTTCCGCTTCTCCGAACTGACTTTTAGCTAAAGCTTTCCGTTCGTTTTTTATGACTTTCTTCTCACAACGGTATTATTATTGTCTAGCTTACCCTTAGCTTACCCTTCACTCTCGGACTTCACAGAAACCGGCCTGGCGGGGATTACGGGAAGGAAAATGTGGGCAATAATTGGCGGGACGTGGTGCGATACCCTTGGTTTAGGCATTTTAACATCTTAAGCAGACCCATAAATTTCCCATCCAACTGTATGTAAAAGAAGGAACATTCATGGGATTATCCTATTTTTCGAACCCCAAGTGAGCTTGAACTTGACTAGCTGTTGCGACGCCGACGCGTTACAACTGAAACATGACGCCTTTCTTCAGGAAATAAGAAACCAATTTCAGTCGATGATAGATTGTTAAACTCAAGCGTTCTATGAGCAAAAGTCTGCCTACGACGCAGTTGGATGTTTATACGACCGTTTATATAGATGGACACGCCCAAAATTGTGTATCTATATCCGAAAATCAGAAGGTACGACGGAGAACAAATCTTTATTATACTGAATCTAACTATTCTTCCAGAGTAAGGACCTAGGCCCAATTTCTATGTCCTCTGTCAGTAAGCTGTCCTAAAGAATGAATCCGCAAAGGAAACCGCAACGCCGCTGGCCGAAATACATTTTGTAAAAAATTAAAACAGACAAAATGTGAGTTCCAGAACTATGCCCACTCCAATTTACTTCTTGTTTCAATCAGGTTAAAATTTTGCTCGAAATGACTATTGTGAATAATGTTTGCTACCGCATACTTGAGTTATCTGAGTGGTGGGTGGACCGGACCAATATACTGAAGCAAGGAGGATAGTAGTAGCTGCGGCCAAAGTGCGGTATGCAAAAACTAAAAATGCGCTATTTTAGGAGGAAACATGTATTCCTTTGGCCATAAATGCCTATAAAGGGTATATGCATAGTAAGAAGCAGTACGGATTGATCTGATATTTGGATACAAAAAGCTTTTGTTTCCATGCGCAGGTGGTTCGTTTTCGGAACCTTGGTTGTGGATGAGAGAGCTGCGTTTCGTGCTATAATTCGTGGCCTGTTTAAGAAGGAGTAATTTGGGGCGCATGGTAAAATGGTTCAGTAACAAACACCTACCAGTTTAGACAGGCACGATGATGCAACTGCCAATGCCTATTGGCGATCGTTCTTCCTATAAAAGCCACATAGGTCCGTTTAACTGCACTGTGACGTGGCGGATGTGACACGCCACTAAATAAAGTCATTGCCTCTTCCCAATCCGAAGGACTTCCACTTCACAACCGTTATCCAATTCAAAGTGTTGCAGTGATCCCTTTATACGATGGCGAACAAAGCAAACTCAAGAAACCAGCCACAATTCACAAGTTCACTCACAATGCCAACTAACACATACATGTTTGGCGGCATCTGGTTCCGGATTTGCCTGTCACTATGGCTAGTCACAGGACGCCTGCGCCTACAGAGGGACCATGGTTGGCTTGCGCTGAACCACCAACAGCTACAACCACACACCCCATACCCGGTGTAAACCCGAAGGAATAAGACCGGGAGGCATGTGGATGGGAGCCAAGTTTCATCAACGGAGCCGGCCCACACTCCTTCACAGGCAAACACAAGCACGCTCTATTAAATAAATAAATAAATAAATAGGTATATTTCTAGACCGGCTAGAGGCTGCACCCTAAAGGGTTCAGATCAATGCTTACATAAATCCGATGCTCTTGCCTGGAAGTAGGTAAAATATAAGTATATGTTCATCGTCAGCAATTGCAAATGCATTGGCATTGTTTGATATACAGCTACTGGGTGCCCACCTTGACATGTTTCTGGTTCCTGCGGGCGATATTGAACTCCTTGTTTTTTATTGTGAAAACTTCGCGGAGGTGTAGTTGTGCCTTTTCTCCTTGGAACAGAATCCAATTCGCCGAAA